CCTGATCAGACTCAGTAGCTCCTCTGATAGTGAGAGTGTCTCTGTTTACAGTGTAACGCTCAGATGACTGTAACATTACACTGTCTGTGCATACATACCACTCATATCTCCAGTTACTGTAAGACTCAATCACACACGTCAGATTGACTGTCTCTCCAGTGAATACAGAACTGTCTGGTGTCACAGTCAGTGTAGATCTGGGTAAATCTGTAAAATATAAAAGCAGATAAATAATCAAGTGTGAGGCCTACAATGAAGTGTTATATCCTTTTAATCTTTGCATGTAAAATCTTGCTCTTTACATTATGTAGGAGCTTGTAGATTAAGTGTTAACTGAGTGCAATAACTGTCTATTATACATCTATTGTTTTGTCAGGAAAAAATGCCTATTTTCATGCTCTTATGAAGAAATAAAAGTGTTCAACTAATACTTTTGGTCTAACAGCCATATCAATAATTTAATGGTGATTTGTGTCCTTTTTAACCATCTCTGATCCTCATTCACTGTCAATGAAAAGAGAAGCCAGGACATTCAGCTGTAAATAATGCCATTGTGTTCTAGGGAAGAAAGTCATACAGGTCTGTACAAATATGAGTGTGAGTAAATGATGACATGTTTCATTTGTTGGGCAAACTATTACTCTAATTATTGAGAAATGGTTTAAAAATTTTTAGAAAGTTAATCTGTAACCTTGTGAAGTTAAAATTTTCAGGCACAAATAGGATGAAATGCATGCCATCATCAGAGTGACATTCATTGTTGAGATGAAGCTTTTAAACAGTGTACAGTACGCTGCCATCACTGTACATATCGTGCCTCTATCACTCTAATTCAGTGCTGAACACAAAGTTTGGTTACTTATGCAAAACTGACAACTGCATTCTGAACTGAATTTAGCTGCAGTATATACTTGGTCTTTGTGTTCATCACCTGAGATTGAGGGGTTTGGTTCAGCACAGCACACAACTGTACGACCCTCACTATGTCTGCAGTTTATATGTAAAGTGTGTACAGAATTTCAGCCTCTGACGCCTGAAGTGGACTGTGAACAGAAGTTTCTCCATAGAATGGCTGACTACATATACTAAAATGTGCAATGCATAATAATTATCAACCAAAACCACAGAGACCTTCCTTCAAAGTTTGATCAGATTTCCAGTTTGAATTAAGTTTGCAAAATATCAATTGTTGTTGAGCTGAAATCTGGACGCTGTGTGTGTTCATGTAGTAGTAGGGCTGGGTGATATGGCCAAAAAATATCACAATAATTTTCATGTATATATATATATATATATATATATATACGAGTCAATAACAATAATTATCACAATAAATTTCAAATCTTTATTTCTTTCAGGTTTAAAGGCAGATTTCTGCTCCATAAGTGAAAGTTGTAGAAACCAGACCATTAATTGTGGTTTTAAACTCTTTATGGTCAAAACGTTTTTGAATTATTTACACTTTTCCAGTCATTTTTCCTTAACAAAATAATTATTTTAATAGAAAAAAATTTATTTCTTAGTTTCTGCATGTTCTAATGAGTGATATTGTATCAAATTATGAAACAGGTTTGTGTTGCTTGACTTTGACATGTATCTTCAGCTCAGTTTGCAGTGCAGGCTGCAATAATAATATTAAAATGGTTTGTCTCTTAGAAATGCAAATTTGGCTTGAGTTAAGATGCAGATGTAAATGTATGTTCATTATCAAAATCAGTAACATCTGTAAAGATTCTAACAACTTATTTTTTATATGGTGAAATTTAATTATTCTGACTGAGTTTTATTAAAATTAACCACTGTTCTAGATCATCATAACCACAGTTAAAACCACACATACAGCACCTCAATACCATGGTAAAAATGTAAATATGTATGGTTTCTAGTATGAAAAACAATAGTCTAAATATATTTAGTATAAATGCACAAACACTATACATTACTGACAAATAAAGACTGTAATTATATTCCATTACGCATTTACATTTAAGTCATGTCTACACTAATTATATAATAAAATTTGATATGAATATCCCACATTTCTGCCACAATACCATGGTGCATTTAGCGTTACTACAGTAAATTCATGGTAAATTATGGTGATTTGTGGATTGAAAAGTATTCTGACTGTATCGTTGCACACAGTGTTTCTCCTGTTTGTCAGCGCTGTTTCATCTGGTTTGAATCTAGTTTAAATCAGCGAGTCATTTGTGTTCTTCTTTGAATTGAAGCTTCACTCTGGATCTCACAGCTGTTTAGTGTCACGAGTAACACATCTGCTCTTGTGAGCTCACGCCGCGCTGCTGTTTAAACATTATATCGAACATTTATAAAACTCTTGTTATCGTTTTATCAAGGAAAATTATATCACCATAATTATCGTTATTACAATAGGCTAGTTTCTGGCCTAGGTAGTTATACACTTCAAG